TTTGACCTTCTCTATTAGTCGTAACAGGCGAATACCTCGTATGTCATTCGGGCACTTCGCACCTGGCCGGTAAAAACCAAGTATTGGCTGACAATCAGTCCGTACATTCAATGAATTATAATTAAGCATTGTAACCATTACATTCTTACATATACCGTATGCTTGTCCTACAGCTATCTGACCAATTACAAGGTACCTTCCGGGTTAAATTTAGCACCCCGGCAAGAGATTAAAAGCAATCGGTCAACTCCATTAACCGTGAAGCCATCTTCCCAGGATCGACTAAAGCTTGGCCATCTTCACTTTCAAGTAATATTATCGCAGTTGATAAACGTATGGCATTTTGTCAATGAAGGACTTTATGGTATTCCTTAAATACCCCAGGATTCATTTTCCTTTTCTTATGCTTTGGTAGAGTTATCATTGGAAAATCATCAACAGGTTTTTGATGAAGTAATGGCAAAGCATCCTCTATATCATAAGGTTGAAGGGAAGGAGATTCTTGCTTAGCAGATATCGCGGTAAGTCGCGAAAAGGCACGGCTCATTCTAATAGCCGCATGAAGTTCGTTATCTTTTTTAGCTATAGCCAACATATCGTCACTGACATTTTCGCTTCCTGTTGTTCCTTCGTAAAAGAAAGCTCAGTCTTTCGCGTTAGAGGTTGCTTTCATGTAGATGGTTAAGCCGTTGACTTCTCTCCCTGCCTTGGGGTCCTAACAAACAGTACAGATCCTACACCAATCTGGCTAGCATAAAAATTATAATGAAGGTGATGACTAGGGTCCAGAGATAAGAAGTAAATACTGTTTGTAATCGCCAAAAATACAGCATGAAAGGCAGTTATACGCCGCCGTCCAAACGAAACGACTATTCTTTTGCAGCAAGTCGATTAATGGGGCCAGCATCAAGCCAAGCTATGTATGTCTGTCGACCACCAATTAGGGGTGGCTTCAAATCTTTGAACAGCGTCCTTATCTCCTGACGTTGCAAATCTTGTTTTCGCGTCTATCTGGTCAGCAGTAATAGTGCTGTGCCTATCTATTAATAAATGACCATAGAATACGATGGACTGCCATTCATAGCGTACAAACGACACTTTATTAGATGGTTTAAGCCTGATATCGTTATCATAGGCTAGCAATGCAAATTGGAATAACGATCCCTTTTACCTCTATTTGCTACATCTCCTTCATCCACAAAATGTTTTGTTCTCCAGTGCTTGCTGTAGCACATTTGTAATCATTTTCGCTCCAAAAACTCCCGCAATAGGCTGCCACACTCTTCCTTCTAATGTAATCCAGGTTAACAAAGCCCTGTTTTGCTTGGTATACTTTAGCTGGTTAAAACTACATGCCATGTCAAGAGATGAACGGATATCAGCACTACGCAAGTGGTCCAAACATTCTTCTTCTGCGGGCATTGGATAGGGGTCTACATCAAATTTTCATTTGCGAAAGCATAGTCCGGACAGTATCTTATATTCTTCGCTTATGTAGGTGGGATCCTTGGGGCTGAGATTTTCTTTAGTCTAGGCTCCAAAAGATATATTTCTTTAAAGTCATATTCGTGTACCTCCCTAGGAGCTTCTCGATTCTTGCGCTGGAACTCAACTTCTGCAACTTCGTCCATTATCCGGGGAAGTATTGGTCCCATAACAACGTCAGACAGCGGGTTATACTGGACCTTACGCCCAAAGGCCGGGGAAGTTGCTGATAAATACCACCATGTATGTAGAAGGTGGTCTCCCTGTGCTCTTAAGCCAAAAGTATCTGACAGTTTATTGGAGCCTCATCAGATAGATAAAACATAATTGGGCTGGTTTCGTATTTTTCTATATCCTTGTCATCATATACTTCAATAAGGATATGCACCACACAATACTGAGTCGGTGGATCCACTATTGCCCCTCCGAAAGATTTCATATGCACAGGGCTCCATTAGTCACAAGTTCATATATTATAAGGTTAGGTAGAGCACCATCGTCTGCATAACAATCAACGACAGAAGAGTCCACTTGGGCTTGGACAACAGGACCCTTTTGGCGCCAATAATGGGCTATCACGCCAACAAATTCAGCATCCGGGCAATCACTAGGTTAATGACTAAAATTGATGCAGTTATAGCATTTAACATCGGAGAAATCCTGAGCTGGAGAACGGTCAGGAGTATTCGGAGCTGCTCGAGATCGCGATTTGTCATTTGTAGGTTTCTGTCTTGATCAACCGCTTTGCCAGCTGTAGTCGCAGGCTTCGATATAGAAGTTGAACGTCCACGAGTCAATGTGTCTGTTTCTTTATCTTTTTTATTTTTATTTTTTTATCTATCTCTACGACGTTCGGATTGTGTATCTTGGCCATCTCTACGACGATCAGGCCTATGATCTAGTTTACATCGTTCATATTCACGTCCTCGTAGGAATTCCTCTCGCTCTTTCTGCAAGCATGCCGCGCGGTCTATCTTGTCAGCACCCGCTGTATAACCCCTCTTCCATAGAAGAT